AGAGGCTTAGAACTTGACGAGGAAAGGTAGATATGGGCAGGGAGAGCTATCTGGGGCTCCACAGGGGGACTGAAGATTTCAGGAGGTGGGAAGAGAGGCAACTGAAAGTAAGAGTGGGTTACAGACGAGCAGAAGGGAGGTAGTGTGGCCCCCGGGTGCCTCATTTTAGCAAGTAGCTCATTTCTCCGCCCTTGCAGTGTGGCCGTGCCTGCCTGAAAGCACCCTGGGTGGCCCAGCCTGGGGCTCTGTACTCACTATCTGGCAGAGTCTGACAGCTGGTATTCCCTCCTCCTGTCATAACATTCCTGGATTCCCGGGTCCTGCCAGAGCTGCTTGATGGCCTCCACCTGGTCCCTGGAGAGAGCGGAGACCTTGTCTACGTCCACTTCTCTGATCAGCTGGGCATTTTCCTGCTCAAAGGAAAAGAGAACCTTTCATTAGGCAAAGGAAAGGAAGCCAACATACTGATGACTTGGGGACAAGACCTGCCCTGGTCCGTGGATTAGGGAAGATGTCCCTAGAGGCTAGGGTGTGGTGGGTGCTCTCCAGAAGAGCTGCTCACAGCCAAGCCACTCCGTTGCAGCCTCATTGGGTAGAGATGACGTGGCTGCTTAACTCAGTGGAGAGCGCCAGAGAAGGCCCAAGACCTGTGGCCTTCGGTCCCAGCAGTACCCCGGGGGCCAGTTTCACCAGCATTCAACACCCAGTTGCGAACAGAGAAACACGGGAACGATTGATCATCATTGATTATCATCGTACTAACAAACATTACTTCCTCGTTAACATGCAACTCATGTTGAATACGTGTGTAGCCAATGGAACAATTTAAAAGTAACTTTATTGTTAGTGGCATACCAAGGGTGGGGTAAGCGGGTCCACCCCAGTGCAGGAAATAAAGGAGTGCGTCATCTTCAGATCATTGAAAAATAACACCACCAACAATCATCAGTCGGCTTTCTTTCTCTTCCCTTTATTTTTTAAAAGATGTTTTAATAGCCTTTACTTTTTAGAGCAGTTTTAAGTTAAGAGCAAAACAGAGAGGAAAGTACAGAGAGTTCTCATACAGTCTGCTTTTTATTATCAGCATCACTAATAAAACTCTTTCCCACTGGGTGGACCACACCCAGCGGAACCCTCACACCATGCCACTGACTGCTCTAATAGTATGTTTACTATTCCATCACTAAATTATTATTGCTCTAATACTACTGCTTTATTCCAGTAACTGTTAAGATCATTATTGCTGTAATTATTACTGTTACAGCAGTTATCATTTATTACCCACTTAATAAGTGCTCAGGGCTCTACATATATTATCTCATCAACAGAAGGCAAGCCAGAGGCCAGAAATCTTTCCAAACCTTAGCAAATAGAAATGATAAGACTGGCCTGTATCCGCAACACATCCTTGTGTTGGCCCCAGAGACTCAGCATCCGATCCCTGGCTGCAAGTTGCAGCAAACAAGAGAATCCTGCTGAGGGAGACAGGAGCCCGGCCTCGTCTTCCCTCTCCCATCTTGCTGTATCTCACAGCAATTACATCATGCACTGGCAGCTGTGAGTCAGCAAAGCAACCTTTGGCAGCTCTGATCTCCTGCACCCCTTGAAAAGTCACTCTCATCTCGCATTTCTCATCATGAAACCCAACAGGAGGTTGGAGGAAAGGGAGATCTTATAGATTCACTTGACTCAGGGAAAAACCAAGGGCTGTGATTCAATCAACACGACTTTGCCCTACGTCCATCAAGAGGGAGTACAAACTCTTCCCCTAGACTGTGGGATCCTCAGGCAGGTAGAGGATCTTTGCAGAGTCTCAAACAAGGTCTAGGCAGTATGGGTCAGTGGCAAGTGCCTGGGCGGGGAATCGGGACCCTGAATTCTAAGTAGTTCAGTCGGGACTTTTAAGGAACCCAATAGGTTCCCTGCCTCAGCATGGTCATTTGTAAGAGGAGCCAGGGATTTTCAATGGGAACCTGATTTATAAAGTATCACCCAAATGTAAGCAGATCTTGCCTTATTATTGCAATAGACGCCTAATAAATATTTCTTGTTTGCCAAAACAGGACACAGTGACAGCCCTTACACCAGGACTTCTAATCCTGCCCAGTGGCACATTTTGTGCCGTGTGCCCTATTGTTAGCCAGAGAGAACAATAAATGGAGAACGTGGACAGTGTCTCAATGTAGCAGGAGTGTCTCCCGCTTCCTCCCCTCCTCTCGCCACTCTCCCACCTCCCAAATATGGTCAGAGGGTCTCCACTGGAGGACGAGGATGACAGAGCTTCCCAGGATACCCCATGTGGCCACACCAGGCGTGGTGAGGGCGCTGACCTGGGCGTAGCTCTAAATTATCTGTTTTCCCGTCTTCGTGACAAGTCAGGAAATGCCACAAGGGCAGAGCCAATGTCTTACGTATCCTTACATCCCAGAACCTCATGCAGTGCCTGGCAAATAACAGGTGGCCTCTTTGGATGCAGGTGCCCAATAAACATCTGTGGTGCACAGAAAACTGTATCTCTCTAACGGATAACCATGGGAAAATAACAGTGAAAGAACACTAGAGCAGGATGATGGAAGCCTGTGCCGGGCACGGTGGGAACACGGAGGAGCTGGGAGACGTAAAAGCCTCCCTAGTGGAGGAAAGGCTCCGGTGACTCCTGGCCAATTGGTCTTAACCACTCTGCCCCTGGTACGGTCAGCATCTTTGCTTGTTGCTTGTCCGCAACACAAGGCAGGCCTCTTGTGTTGCTTTTCTACACGTAACTGTTAAATTCAGCTTACCTGCTGAGCGGTAGCCCTGTGAGAATCATCAGCGATGTTACAAATATTTCTACCTCTCCTCCTCACAAAGGCAATGAAGTACTGTACTCTGTGATGAAGGAAACGTAAGTGGAAGCAACATCTGTCTGTTTCAGGAAGAAACTTTAAAGAACCAGTGAGTAATTCACCACATTGCCTTTTGTCTCCTGTGGTGATGACCATGGGATAAGATAGAGCCTCCATCAGCCAGGCTTCCTGAGTGACGATAATGAGCTAACACACCATACTGCATATGGAGCACGAGTGAGAAATCAGCTTTAATTAAGTAAGCTACACTTTGGGGGGAGTTTGTTACTGCAGCATAACCCACTCTATCCTGACTGATACATGTTGCCATGGATAAACCCAGTGTTTGGCTCTTCCAGTAGATAGAAAAAGTGGATCCCAGTGAGATATTAGAGAGGAATACAGGCTTCTACATAGGCTTCTTGGGGGAGAGGTGGAATTTGGGGAAAAGACATAGACCTGGGATTTCGGGTAACCAGGGGAATTCAGCCAGGTGAGAAAAACATACTGTCTGTTCAGACCAGCGAGGGGATTTGGGTGGAATCCTGCTTGAAAGAAGAGGAGAACAGAGGGTCCTTAAAGACCCAACAATTGGGACTTTGGTTTGGAACAGACTAGACTTAAGGCTTCTAGGGAAGCCCTGGATCAATTTTTTTTAAACCTCTTATTTTGAAATAATTTAAGACTTGGGAAAAGGTGGGGAACATGGTACAAAGAGTTCATCTCTGCCTTTCCAGATTGCCCAAATGTTCATAATTTCCTACCTTGCTTTATCATTCTCCCCACTCCCTCCACATGTGTTCGTACACACCCACACCTGCACGCATAACTCACACATATATTTTTCTCTGGAAATATCTGAAGGGAAACTGCAGACACAATGCCTCTTTATCTCTAAAGACTTCAGTGTTATTTCCTAAAAACAGACATATAGAACTTCCCTGGTGGCGCATTGGTTAAGAATCCGCCTGCCAATGCAGGGGACACGGGTTCGAGCCCTGGTCCAGGAAGATCCCACATGCTGCAGAGCAACTAAGCCCGTGTACCACAACTACTGAGCCCGCATGCCACAACTACTGAGCCCGTGTGCCTAGAGCCCGTGCTCTGCAGCAAGAGAAGCCACGGCAGTGAGAAGCCCGCGCACCACAGGGGAGAGTAGCCCCCGCTCGCCGCAACTAGAGAAAGCCTGTGCACAGCAACGAAGACCCAACGCAGCCAAAAATAAATAAAATTTTTTTAAAAAACAAACATATATAATCATATATAAAGGTCAAAATCAGGAAACTGACACTGACACAATACTGTAATCTACTCCTCAGACCTATCCAAAGTTTGACAGTTGTCCCATAAAGGTCCTTTATCTGCCCAGTCTAGGCTCACATATTGCATTCGGTTGTCTCTTTAGTCTCCATCTATCTGGAAAGGCTCTGCAGTCAGAGGAGCCGTTTGTGTTACTCTGATCAAGAATGGCCTGACAAGGATGTGTTCTTTAGTCACGAGTCATCACAAGGATGGCTGGTGGAGAGAATGGCACAGCCGAGCCCCCAGAGTGTGTTCCAGGGGCAAATATTACAAAGGGCAGAGAGCAGTGAGGCAGAGGGTGACCTGGTTTTTAAATAAGTTGTACTGAAATACGAGATGAAAGACTTCTACACGTTAACAACGTGTGTTTTTAAAAAGTGGGGTTTTGTGCAGATTTCCCTCTGACTTGGCTGGAGAGTTTCATACACAGAGTGTGCGCATTTTTATCATTATGTTCAAACCACTTCTACAGTGCACACCGTCTGAGAGCAGGGAGTCCTTATATAATGGGGAAAATTTTGTGTCAGGTAGTTGGGCTTTTTCATCTCCTGGAAAGAGAGAAGAAATGTTCTAAGAGGATCAGATTGAGGGAAGAAATGTTATGATTTGGGCAGGGGACAGGCCGAGGCTGAGGGGGCTGACATCTAAGTGGAGAAATCCAGGAAGCAGATGAATAAAATGGGTCTGTAGTTCATGGAAAGGTCCTCGGCTAGAGGAGCGTATTGAACTGAAACTGCCTAACTCATGTATTTCTTTGAAAAGAAAAATCACAAAGCAGTAAATATTACTGGAGCAAATAGAGCAGATGCAGAAACGCAAACAGTTTCTCAAACACTGAGCTCACATCTGGCTTTTCCTCTCTTCCTTTCTCAGACAAAAGCACCATTTTCACTGCTCTGAAGAAAGAAGAACACAGAAACCAGATGTCCTACATGTGCGTTTCACTCAGTAATTCCCAGGGTGACAGTGGAAGGAGCTGCTTTTGAAGTGTGGCCTTGCTGGCTTCACACTTGGATCCCCGGCCGCCTGGGTGACAGTCGCTTTCGAGCCCAGCCAGCCCCTCTGGCTGGAATCCAGGGCCCAGTGGGCAGCCCCATTCTCCACCAGGTCCTCACAGGGGGAGCCCGTACACCATTAACCGCCCAGCACTGCAGGGCCCAGAGCCTTCTCACCGACTAGGGGAGACTGTTCCCTAGTCAGAAGCCAGAGTTCCTGTTCTTTCATCAGATACTTAATCATTTTCGTTAAAACCTTTATCCATTAACATATTCTAGATAATAAAAGCCTAATTTAATACTATTTCAAGTGTCTACTATCATATGCAGTACCTCAAAAGCTTTGTAAAAACAAATGAGATTAAAACAAGATTAAAAATGAAAGTTCCCTGTAACATAATATTTCTGACTTTCACACAATCACTCCTCCTTGTTTTAACATCTACGTCAAGATCCAGAACTACACTACATATTCTATCAAACTAAAATTAGGAAGTAAAATTTCAGTGCTCCGGGCTTCCCTGGTGGCGCAGTGGTTGAGAGTCCGCCTGCTGATGCAGGGGACACGGGTTCGTGCCCCGGTCCGGGAAGATCCCACATGCCGCAGAGCGGCTGGGCCCGTGAGCCATGGCCGCTGAGCCTGCGCGTCCGGAGCCTGTGCTCCGCAACGGGAGAGGCCACAACAGAGAGAGGCCCGCATACCGCAAAAAAACAAAACAAAATTTCAGTGCTCCATAACGATCAGCTTTGAAAGCATCTCAAAAATTGCATTATAAAGAAAATGCTGGTAAACTATGCTAGAGAAAGGAATGTTTTCTATAAAAAACAAAGAACTTCTGCTTCTGGTAAAGGAAGACTAGGACATTTAGATCAACTCTTCCACTAAGGACAGCTAGAGATGGTGGACAACATATTTTCAAAAGTATGCTCAAGAATAATCAGGAAACTAATGAACAAGTAAGTAATTGCTGGGCCAGAGTGTAGGGTAGGATGGCATCCAAGGAGTTGAACCAGCATTTGGGAAACCTTTCTCCCTGGGGCTTCTTCTTGTTCTAGAAGGAGCAGTGTGAGGTTGAACAGCTCCTTTTTCAATATTACAGGACGAGGGAAAGTTAGCAAGAGCTAAAGGCCCTTAGAAGCCCTCTGGCTCCAGGTTGGGATCCAAGGGGTAGCTCTTAGTGACCTGCAACTCAGCTTGGAATCCCCACAATATCAGAAATTGAGTATCCCCAGACACCTGGCAGAAGAAAAGAAAGTTTCTTTTTGAAGCTTGGAAGCTTGCATCTTCCTTACCCTCGAATTATTTTTTCATGCGTGTCCAGCACACTAACAAAAAGAACCAAGCATAAGAAGATAAGACAACTCCAAAAATGAGGTGACAAGTAAAAAGATGCAAAAAGATATACCATGCAAACAGTAACCCAGAGGAAGGAGGAATCTATTATCATAAAAATAGACCTTAAGGTTTATTTGTTAATTATACCTCAGTAAAGCTGGGGGGAAAAGTAGACTTTAAGGTTAAAAGTATAACTGGAGATAGAGATATTTCAAATGACAAAAAGGTTCAGAAAGACATAACAGTTCTAAAGTTGTATGCAGCTAATAACATAGGCTTAAAATATAAGAAAAAAATCTCTAAGATCTAAATGGTGAAATGGACAAATCTTCATCTTACAGGAAACTGAAACATACCTCTCTCAGTAACTGATAGAATAAACACAAAATTCAGTAAAGATATACACAATTCAAACATAATCAGCAAATTGGACTTTATGGACACATGTAGAGCCCTATATTCCAAATAACTAGAATATATACTTTTCTCAAGCACACCAAGAATAGTTACAAAAATGACCATTAATCTGAGATTTCACATTTTCAAAAACTGGTTTTCCAGCTTCTTTTGATCACTTTCTAATTCCCATTTCTTTAGCAACTCTTGGCTCCAGCAGGGATGCCACCATGGCCACCAGCCCAGCCGAGCCACTGTGCAGGCATCTGAATATTTAAGCACTGTTCTAAAGCTACCTAGATTTCTCCTCATAGAAAGGCAGTCTTCCACCACACTCAGAATGGGAAGGAAGCTTTTCTGACCCAATTCAAGATTCAAAAGAAATCTTTATTTCTACTCCAATCTTTGTCCTCCTCCTTCTCCTTATCTTTTCTCCAACAAAAATAAATAACAGAATTCACTGGCCACAAAGCGTTGGCATGAAAAGCCAAGTTACTTTATTTTTTCCTGTCAGTCAAAATTTCAGTGGGTTTAACTTAAAAGGCTCTTTCCAAAGAGTCCTGCCATAAATTACCTTGGCACAAACATCCAAAGCTACAATGAGTGTTAACAACGCAGCTGAGAGAGAGAATCTTTGGCCTTACGCTGTGTCAACTTGGCGAAGCACGCTCCCTTCCCTGTATGACTCTGGGCTAGGATCTGCTACAAGAGAAGTTTGAAAGGGATCTGGGAGTCAGGGGAGAAACAGCGGCCGTCGTGCTCTGAAGGTCAGAGCTCTGCTTTAGTACAAATGCCTGCATGCATGCACGCACGTGCACGCACACACACACACACACACACACACACACACACATTGTGACTGGTCTTCTGGTCAACCTCACTGATGGGGGGGGCATGTGCAGCAGCTGGGCTTCAGCACCCCTAGCTCCCACTTGGACCTTCTCCTTCAACTTCTCCACATCCTGGGGCAGACATACATGCAGGTCCACAGCAAAAGATGCCAGTTTCTGCTGCAAGTCACCTGCACTGTCAACACGGAGATGTGAGAGGCAGATGCAGGTTCCACTTAGTCCCCATGGGGTCCATTCGCCTTCATGGGTTCCCATCTGTCTCTGTAGGTTCCAGTTTGCCTTTGCTCTGGCTCCTTCACATCCAGCTTTTCTCCCCGACTACCAGCCCTGCTGCCCAAACACCAGATACGCAGAGGCAGTTCCAACATCTTCTTCACGGCTCCAACAGCTACATACAATGCAATCCCTAAAACGAATCCATTATTCCACATCGCTTTGAGTGACTGACTTCCTGATCAAATCAGGAATCTTCCATGCTGGTCCATTCAATTCTCTTTAGGGGCAAAATACCCTATAACCGTAGGTCTAGGTGATGGTAACAGTTTAGGCCTCAGTTGGGGTGACCGAAATGGACCCAAACTCAGCGAGGCACTCGCAGCCAGACTCCATCATCATTCAGTGCACAGCATCACATGCCTGCTCCCTGCTAGATCCGGGCCTGCTTCTGGGAATATAAAGAGGACTGTGGCCCTGCCCTTGAGGGTTCCAAAATGACAGATCCGCACACAAACGCTAGGAGATCAAAGAAAGGGAGACATGTCAACTGGGGGTGAGTGACAGCATGGGCTAAGGTTTCCCACCAGAGGTGGCCTGATGTTTATGAAGAGAAGGGCTGTGTCTGCCCTTCGTGTACTCATGAATGTGGATTCCCGAGTGTGCTTGTTAAAGGCAGCACCGTGAAAGTGCAGGGACCAGACCAGTTCTTTGCTATATCACCTTTCACACAACATTCCTTCCCCTGAGATGCTCTGGAGAGCACCTGAACTCCCTCAGGTGCCAGGGTCCTGAATATATTCAAGGTAGAGCCCACCCCGCAGTCTGCACCCCCCAGAAAGAAATGAGTATATTGGTCCAATGGAAGCTGCCTCTCAGAAAATCATTTGTTTTAGGCCCTTTTAACTGCATGTGCCCAGAGGTCACATATAATAACATGGTCATGTTCCGCAGCAAGTTGGGATTTTCTGTCCCTATCACCTTCTTCCTCCCCCTCCCTCCTGTAGTTGAGAGTTTTTCTAGGTTTTTTTAGCACATCAAAATTGGGTTATGAGAGACTGTTCAAATTAGCAAGACAAGGATCTGTCTCTTTTGTACCTGTGCCTCTCTGCAGAATCTGCTGGGAGGACGGGAGCGTCTATGCCAGGACACACTCAGGTCCTTCCCACATAAAGCTGGGAATGACGGTGGCCAGGGCCCTGATGTTGGGAAGGCCAGGACTTACAGAGAAAGGCAGAGGGGCAGAAAAAGAAGAGAGACCAGAGGAGCAGGGCTGGGGATGGGTGGGGGGCTTCTAGACCAAAAGATACCCCCCAACCCTCCATCGCCCCCCTTGAAGGGAAAGTAATAAATGCTTTGCTCCCCCGCTGGCTTCCTGTAGTACCACGATCAGCTATAAGAAATCTTATTCTCTCTTTGGTATTGGACTCTGTCTGTGGCCCTTCCAGAAAATAAGGCATAATAAAGGCTTACAGATATAAAAAGCACACAGGCAAGGTCTCAGTTCAAGAATAGGCTGGTTCCAATTTAATGTAAAGTTGGTTGTTGGGAGCTCAAAGCGTTTTCCCATTAAGACAAAGATTGCTCTGGGTCCACCGATCCTGTTTTATTTCCCTACCGGGCTCATAGGTTGGGCTACATTTCCCAGTCTCCCTTGCAGTCATGTAACTGAGTTCTGAGTGATGAAATCTGCGCTGACATGACGCACACCACTACCAGGGCTGGCTTTAAAAACTTCCCATGCAATCCTCCTCCACTCTACCTTTTTTCATTTCTCAGCTGAAAGGACAGGATGATGAGGGCCAAGAGGAGGGGAGCCTCCAGGCGCAGGAGACCTAGATCCCTGAGGAAATGTGCGGAGCAGAGCCCATCACTCACCAACTCCCATTGGATTGAGACAGACGTGGCCCAGAAATAAACACTGATTTTGCTAAGCCACTGAAGTTTTGGTGTCGGTTTATTTTAGCGGCTATCAAAGTTTACTTTATGCACCCATAAAGAGAGAGAAGAGAAGCAACGTGAGAACGGAGAAGTCCCGGGCTAGCTCCAAGAAACCCACGTGAACCAGCAGAGACAAACCAATGCACTGAAGGCACTGGCCACAGCCGGGGGGCCTAGTGTGGATCATGTGTGATTTTTTAAAAAGCCACTCATCTCTGGTCTCCTCATGTCTGCCATGCCCCCATCCTGCCTCCCAGTGGCTCTCTCTTCAAGGCCCCAGATTCTCAGACCCAAACTGTAGGACCACTTCCTATACACATACGTTCCAAGAGAACGCGAGCACCCAAACCTCCTGATCGCCCTTCTCTCCCATCAAACACTACAGGTCCTCCAGACAGGAGGCTATGTGGCCTGGAGAGAACGGCTCTGAGCAGTTATTTTTCGGTGTCTTTCCTTTACCCGTATCTGAGCCCAAATGTGGTAATACTAGAGAGAACAGGCTAATGGCCCCAACTGTCAGTACCTCGACGGACACCCCACACAGGTTTACTTTACGCTCCTTCCCAG